TGGTTTCAAGGTTTTCTTTGGACAGGAGATTCAGTCAGTCAGTCAATGCACACACATATTTGCATCTCAAAGTCATACAGTCCTTCCAAGGCAAGCTGTAGCATGTGCTTTCTAGATCATGGATCAGTCCTAACCCTCAGGCACAGACCTAATCCTCATCTTCCAAATACTACATTTTGCTTAGGGTTGCAAGCTTTGACCCTCGCATTTCATGCAGCTGTCCAGCAGCAAGTTATTTTTATGTTCATGAAAGATTTAAAGAGAAGGTGGTTGTTTTTAAAAGGTGACTAGCCTTATGGTTTTTATTCCTCTCCAAGGGAATTGCTAAATAGCTGATTATAGCTTTGTGCCAACCTCAAATAAACCAAGCTACTGTGTTTGCCCTGCTTAACCTTTTACGTATTCCTGATTCATCACAATGTAAGGAAATATGTCGCTGGCCTGCCATTTCCTGAGCATATCAGACTTCTGACCTTGCAGTTGTTGCAAGTCAATCACAGTGTCACATCTTACTGCACTGCATCGTGTTATAAATAAAGGTAGCTTGTTCGCCACCTGTCAACAAACTGCCAGTCCCATTCTCCATCTTGCACAAGGAAAGCTGTCCTGGAATCTATAGACTTAATTCAGACCACTGAAACCCTCAGTTCACTCCATAACCTCCAGTGCATCAAAGTGGGACTTCCTCACAGCTATCTTGATATGTAAGCATAAAATGTGAGCTACAATGAGCTGACATAACTCCACTAATCACCATGCAATCCTGCCCAGTGCCAGAGTTTGATGCACAGGTGTCTCAAGTCAGTGGTATTCTTTCTTGGTTTTCTCCCATATTAACCATTCCATCAGGATCCTGTGGAATTGTTGAAACCATGTGAGATACCCTGTGAGCCACACAACAAACGTGTTGGCTAGCCAGTGCTGCAGAATGGTTTTCACCATTTCTAACATTCCAGCTTTCCAATTCCAATTCAATTGCACCACAAGGCACATCTTTTGCTGGCCTTCAATGGCTTGGCTTCCATTCCTCCACAAAGCTGCTCCAAATCAAACACGATTGAAGAAAGAGCATCTGAAGAAGCAATCGCTTGGGAGGTTGTTGCCACACACACACACCCCGAGCAGGACCTTGTTTTGTTTATGCCTGGTGATAGACCTCAGATTAATTATTATTCAGGAGCCGAGAATCTTGATTTATATCACTAATAAGTATGTACTTTGTGCTGCTGCCAGTGCAAGCTGCTTGAAATGCAGGATGGAGAAGCTGTGAACTGATATCCATGCACCGCAGATCATGGTAAGCTCCAAAGGGGATACAATGCTATAGAAACAAAAATGTACCATATATCATGGATCCAAGAGGCAAACCTTGCCACATGACACAGTCACAAATTATCAGCAAGTGCCACCCATTCAGCACTTGCCTCATCTGAAAAAGATGTTCCCTCCTTGGAAAACGTGGGCATTTTGTTATGACTCTTGCATACAAATTAATATACTCATGAAAAGACTCTGTTTCTGGGAATCAAATCTACTCCTTTGACATAGCTGCAGTCTGGTGAGGCTGCTAAAGCAGCAGGGTGTTTGAAAAGCAGAGCTCCAAACAAACTCTCGCCCTCCAAAGGAATGCATGGTCCGAATTTCATCAGAGGCATTTGTTCGTTTGCCATGCTGCAAACTAGGAGTGGCTATTAAGCAAAGGGCACCAAAATAGGCAACAAAACACACTAAAAGCTCTGCTTTAACAGAAGGGCTTCCTGTTTCCAAGAGGAACAGTGCTGGCTTTGCTTTTTTTTCCCTTCCCCCTCAGAGCCCCTCTTGGTCAGCAAAATAAACGGAGAGTGAAAGAGGATTCCTGTCCTTGAGAAAAGTTTGTTTTCCTAACGCAGCACACTGGGCAACATTTGAGATGCCGGCTGCTGTGTCATTTCTCTAAAACAAAATCCTGGATACATTGTGGTAAGGTTGGAGGTATATGGAGATCTCACAAACCCCTTCCCTCATATCTGGAAATGCTATCCAGATGACTCCCAGAAAAGTGGCCCTCTCCCCACTGCTACTATGAGGACAAAAACATCACCACTTGATGAACTGGGCAGCCAAAGGAATGTGCTGAGTGGTGGTGGCAGACTGCCTGCTTGAGAAACATGTGACATTTCGTGGAGGGGGGGCAAGATGCCCCATGGGCAGCACTGGTGGTCTTCTTGGAAACATAATTTTTTATTTGTGAAGTTCTTTCTATGACTATCCTTTGCTTTATTTTCTTTCTTTTTTCAATTACACATTTCCTTTTTAAAAAAATACAATATCAGATTTCATAAATATCTTTTATACTTCCTGGTAACATTTATCCTGGTATTTTACAAACATTTGTTTTTGTAATTTGCAAATTATTATCCAAGTGTATACAAAGAATATTAACTCTCTTTTTTTCTGTCGCATCTTATTTCATAAACTAAACTGTGTTTGTGTGTCAACAACATGGAGTATGCCCCCCGCCCTTGTTTTGTAGCTAGGGTTCCAAAAAAGAAAGAGGAAAACTTCACTTAGTATAAGAAAGGGAAGTCCTGGCTTTTTAACTCAGCGTCCTGTTGTGGACACCTGATGCAATCAAGCCTTGGGACGGACGATTTGATTTTAGCTATCTCTTCGGCTTCTCCATTTGTTGCTTTGCCCAAATATCCAGCAGACTTGATCAGCTCAGCTTTCACCCTCCATTCAAAGCTGATTACCTCTTTAGAATCATCACAAGCTTCAGCTCTGAACTTGATGCTTCCCTTGGAAGGCAGCTTATTAGTTTCTTGGAGGCCTTCGTCTGTGCAGCTATTACTCTGCTTGACTTAATGAACAAGAGCCATCTGGACTCATGCTTGGCCGTGTTTGCACCTGTGCCTGCATCTGCCCTGTCTGGCCACATCAGGTGGATGCGCACTTGTAAGACACATCTCAGCATTAAAGAAAAGGCCAAAGAGGCAAGAGACTCTCTCGTTGCAACAGGAACCGTACCAGATGGCTCATGAAGTAATCAGGGATGAAACAACAGAACTGAGACTTCACGGGGTGTTGTTTGTAAGTGATCATTAGACCACACTCCTCAAAGATACACTCCTCTGCCTTTCTCAATTAGAAAAATCAATGCACATTTAAACAGTGCTTCTTATCCACTGCCCAGGCGACAGATCCCAAACCTGGCAAAAGGACAACTTATAAGTGCAGCATAGTTTAAATGCACGCCCAAGGGTCCTTCTGAGTGGAGACCTAACCCAGCTGTATGATAACATTCAAATTTGTATACTGTTTCAACAACATAATCACTATAGGGCCATGTAGTTGGAGTGTACACAATTGGTCATCTAGTATAATCTACTAAATATGTTGGTATCTGTCTGTCTCTGGAAAGTGCGCCTTTGGGGGCAGGGCAAACACAGTAGCTTGGTTTATTTGAGGTTGGCACAAAGCTATAATCAGCTATTTAGCAATTCCCTTGGAGAGGAATAAAAACCATAAGGCTAGTCACCTTTTAAAAACAACCACCTTCCTTTTAAATCTTTCATGAACATAAAAATAAATTGCTGATGGACAGCTGCATGAAATGAGAGGGTCAAAGCTTGCAACCCTAAGCAAAATGTAGTATTTGGAAGATGAGGATTAGGTCTGTGCCTGAGGGTTAGGACTGATACATGATCCAGAAAGCACATGCTACAGCTTGCCTTGGAAGGACTGCATGACTTTGAGATGCAAATATGTTTGTGCATTGACTGACTGACTGAATCTCCTGTCCAAAGAAAACCTTGAAACCAAAAAAGTATTTGCCGGAAAATGTAAATGTGCCATCAAATCTAATGCACGCCCTAATTTTCGTGACCTAATTTGGCCAAAAAAGGTGTGCATTCCATTTGAGTAAATACGGTAAGTAGTCTATTCCAGGTATCCTTAACCTTTTAAGATGCAGGACCCACTTTTAACCCCAACATGCATTTGGGGACCCATATCTATCTGTTACCATATACTTGCATAGTGGTAGTGCTCATGTTGCGACGGGCAGACGAAGGCGTCCGGTTTAGCTGCTACAGGTATACCATGGTGTTTCTTCTCTCTGCATTCCTCCCAGCGATCCTTCATTCTCTGGTCACTGCTGTGGATACTATCTTCAGGCACTGTGATCATACAGCGGGGTTAATGGGGCCAGTCTTCGTGCCATATTTGCAGACATCTTGGTAATGCAGAGTTGGTCTGCCAACAGGCCTAGTGCCTGAAGCCAGCTGTAAAGCACATCCTTGGGGATCTTGCCATCTTCCCATTTTGTGTGCATGACGAAGCCAGCATCGACATTGCTGAGACAAAAGTGTGAACATAGTGGGACTAACTAATAGCATACTCTAGATCTGAAAATTAGGAGGAAAAAAGACCACTTTGAGCTTCAAGGTATGTCCACAGAGTTAAAACATTTTTACAGTAGTCCTGATGTGGAGGGCTAATTAGGAATAGAATACAATGTAGACTGAAATATATTTGCAGTGATATTTCAAAATGAATTCATTCATTCACAAAATAAATAAGAAAAAACAAAAACAACCCAATAATCCCTCTTCCACAATCACACTGATGATGATGATGATGATGATGGGAAATTTAAATGGTGGTGCCTGGTGCTGGTCAGAGCAGTATTCATCCAGGACCAGAGGCAGCCTCCAGTTTGCTAGCAGAGGATGTTGTAAGCTGTTGCTGGGCCTGCAATTAATAAAAACAAAATAGTTTTAAAAACAACCAATAGAAGGACAAAATCACAACAGCCAAAAGTTTTTATCAGCAGACCTAATTTAGTCCTAAAACTTTCTTCAAAAGGTAGGCTTTAGCCACCCCCAAACATTAGCAGCAAGGTAAACATGTGCGTCTCTTTGGGGAGATTAGAGGGTCCACAGCCAAGGTACTACAAATGAAAAGACTCTGTCTATTTCCCCCACTCTCTGCAGTTCGACAACAGGGGAACAATCAGCAGGATGTCAGTTGTTGAAAGAGATGTCCAAGTAGATTTGTATGGAAATAGTATTCTGGTCTCAGACAATTTGGGATCTGAGTTCAAAATAGGAGAGTAAGTTCTTCCGTAGCAGTCTGATATTCCCTCTCCGCATACCCACATACTCCTATGGTCTCTATGAATGGAAGAAAAAACAATTACAGCTGAAAAAGTTATCCAGTGAATATAACATTGGATTAACTAATTGACACCCTGCAGGCACAAACATTCCAAAACAGAGGCAGAGGATACATGCATACATTTTTCTTTGTTGTTTTGATTAAGGTATATTTTTTTCCTTATTACTATTAAAACAAGAGATTCGTGTGCTTATCTACAAAAACTGCCTTAATGTGTACAGCTTTTTAGAGGGACAGACAGAAGGTTTCCACTGAAATACTTCAGGAGCTGGAAGTATAATAAATGTTAACAAAAAGAAGATAAACAAAATTTCATGCGTATCAGTGAAACAAGCGTGGGAACTGCAATCTACTTGCAGAAAATATAAGATATAAACTGTAATGAGCTCATTACATTTCCCCCATCTCTCCATTGCCTTACAGTTTAGAACCAATAATAGTTTAAATCACCAATGTACCTATTCTGCCTCAAGATCAGATTTTCCAGTCCTATCAAGGAAATTTAGATTGGCTAAATCCCCTGAAAGCAGTGAATTAGCATTACTTTTATATGATAGGTGAGGACCACATAAATGAAGTCACTCCTTCTGCCAAAATTTGCTCTTTTATTGTTAACCCATGAAACTAGTTATGTGTGCAAAGGGGACAGTGAGGCTTCAACAAAATCATTGACTATGAATCACTTATTACTCTGGTTGATATTACTGGAATGTGTTATATGTTGGGCTGCCATTGAAGATGCTCCAGTACAAATTACAGTTTCTAGACCAATGCTTGGACCCAGTTTTTTTGAATAAGTGCCCTACAAGGATTTTGAATTGTGCAATGGAATGGTCCCCGATCTCCCCCCTGCATCCTTTAAATCTGTTCCAGGGGTTCCCCCAAACCTCTGGAGCAGATTTGGGGAGGGTGTAAAGTGAGCACAGCGAGAGGAGAGGGAGGAGTTCCAATGGGGAAGTGGACATATTTGGAGCTAGTTGGATATTGTCCATGACATACAGACAGGGAGGTTTAACTCTTTCCCAGTCCCTGCCTGCAACCTGCTCTTTGCCCTGGGAAGGAAGCTGCTACTGATGGCACTTTAGTGTGCTCATTAGCTCACACGTGCATAAATCATACAGAATAGGAATCTTAATCAGAGCTGAAATCTTTTGTTGTTGTTGTTGTTTAGTCGTTTAGTCATGTCCGACTCTTCATGACCCCATGGACCAGAGCACGCCAGCCACTCCTGTCTTTCACTGCCTCCTGCAGTTTGGTCAAACTCATGCTGGTAGCTTTGAGAACACTATCCAACCATCTCGTCCTCTGTCGTCCCCTTCTCCTTGTGCCCTCTATCCTTCCCAACATCAGGTTCTTTTCCAGGGAGTCTTCTCTTTTCATGAGGTGGCCAAAGTATTGGAGTCTCAGCTTCAGGATCTGTCCTTCCAGTGAGCACTCAGGGCTGATTTCCTTAAGAATGGATGCGTTTGATCTTCTTGCAGTCCATGGGACTCTCAAGAGTCTCCTCCAGCACCATAATTCAAAAGCATCAATTCTTCGGCGATCAGCCTTCTTTATGGTCCAGCTCTCATGGAAGTGAGAGCTGAAATCTTGGATTATATTAATAACATTATTTAATATTCCCCTTCAACAGAACAGTAGTATTCTCATTTCACTCTAAGATGCTCAGAACTATGCTGTGTTGCTTTCCTTTTCTTTTACTTTTAAAAATCAACTTAGTCAGAAAGGAACCACTGGTCCTGCTTTGCACAGTAAGCAGTCACAAAGAAATGGCCTTGAAACGCATCCAAAACCTGAAGGCATACAATTTATTGTTCCTGCTGGAACCAAGAATAAGTTGACTTTGTGTCCTCATTTATAAACTATGCCTGTCAATAAACAACACTGTACCTGTGATAAAACTATTACAAGCTCGGCGAGGCTGGCCAACTGTTCTCAACCAAACACAAAAGTTCAATAAATATGCTTAACTAGACATCTGCCTATCGCCTTGGAGGGAAGAAAGGGGTCAGCACCAAGCAGCTCGGTTAGAGTGGATGGCTTGGATCTCTGCCCTTTCCGCAAGAAGAAACACTGCAATATAGTGGTCTTCCAGGACAAACCTTCCTCCAAGTAAGAAGAACCCTGCTGGATCAAACGAAGGGTTTGCCAGAGGCAGGGAAGCTTTTTCAGCCTAAGGAATACATTCGCACATCACCAGCCATGGGGGGGGGGGCAAATGGCAGCATAGACAATGCTGAACTAGACGGTCAGATTCAGTATAAGGCATCAACCTATGTCCCTGTAACATCTGTATTTCAGAAACGCAGAAGAATAACAAGGCAGTTTTAACAAGACACATGACAAATGGAATAAAGTTAAAACCATTATTTTAAAAAAACAACTTAGATTAAAATACTTGACAATCAGGTCTCTAGAGTATCTCTGAAAGTTGAATAAGATATGGGACAGAAAGTCCCCAATAATATCAGGTGCATAAAGAATTCATAAGAAAATGTAAAACAATTATCCTGTTTGTGCTTTACAAAAATCATAACTGAAAGAAAACGGAAGAAAAAGTAGAGATGAATGAACTCTGGACAATAGAAGCAGAATGCCTGTCACCAAAGGCACAAAGCACATAAATGAAACCTGCTCTATAAAATACAACAAGTAGATACCCCCAAGCTAATAACAAGGGGGGAAGAAAAACCATGTAATAGGACAGTTAGCAAATCAGTTCTCAAATTTCACTGCATATGAGGAAATGTAAATGTAAATATAATATATGGAAAAAGGAACCACCATTTGAGAACAAGAAATAAAAAGAGAAAATACTCACATCGCTCACAAGGATCTTCATATGTCTTATTCTGATATACCGGTTAAACAACACATTATGATTATGATTATGACTGGTTAATTAAAATTGTATATTGCACTTCATCTGCAGATCTAAGGGCAGTTTACAGCATAAATATAAAAGTCAAAAACACAAAATGCATAATAAGAATAAGAACAAGAACAAGCCAAAACAATAGCCCCCTCCCTTCCAACTCTACAATTCTATGATTCCTGTGTACATCGAAATATTAGGTGGGAACTTCCGTTTCTCCCAGATGAAACTGAATGTAAGAGCAGGACCCTAGATTTCAGTCATGCTCTGTCCACCAAATAACCACCTAATGCTTCCACTGTAAATATCAGTGCTGTTAGCGTAAGCCTTACACAGGAAAGGCAAAATAGAATGGTTCTGGCTGGAAAATGTGGCTTATCATTGGAGATGACTGAGGTAACTATACATGGCCTGAGCTGCCATTACTCCAAGTGATATATCATATAGAAGAGATGTGTTGAATTTAAAACATGATTTTCAAGTCTTGAAAGACACCTTCTGAAATCAGTCAAAACTGAGGATCAAGGCAGGAAGAATTAACGGTATATGCTTCTGGTGTTTTGCAATGCGTTTCTAGGGGAAGGATTCAACTGGGAAAGGAAGAACGGGATCTGTGTTTGCATTCTTACGATATGCAGCAAGGCCCAGAGGTTTTAGAGGAAACACATTTCTATTTCTCAGACAATAGTAGAAGGCATTTTATTATTCTCCCACATTAGTCTTCCAGCAACCAAACAGTTCTGTGAATACATTTGCCACATAGTGAACACACTGGGACACATCATCAACATTTAATAGCCTAAGTGGGCCACATCAATATTTGTGCATGCTCCTTCACTTAAGCATTCATATAGAGCAGGGTTGGGGGATCTGTGGACCTCCGTCAGCCCCAAGCACCATGACCAATGATCAAGGGTGATGGGAGTTGTAGCCCTGAAGGTACAGGTTTGCCCACCCTGATGTAGGGCCTTTGAATGACATGAAATTCTATCACTCGGTTTTTAGAGTGAATTCATCTACCCTGCAGGATTTTTAATATGACGTTAAAGTGGGTTCTTTTTAAGTAAATACTGTTTCGGGGTACAACAGAGAAGCACACATTCTTCAGATGTAATGGAATCATGGTGCCACAGAGCAGCATGCATGCCATTTATTCTCTTTAAAACAACCTCATTACTACAAGGGTGGCGCAGCTTGGAAGAGTCAGATCTCTACAGCTGCACAGAGAAGCCATGCATGAGCTAAAGATAATGGTAGGGTTTGGTGCAAAGCAAGGAGACTTCAGTGCTCTTCTCATTCTAACCTATTTGTCTATCATCTAATGCAGATGAACAACAGATAACATTTAACTGTTTCTTCACTGCCTGAAATCTAAGCACTTTCTGCTTTTAAAAAAGCATACTTCTCTTTAAAACTAGTTTTTCTGGTTTTAAAAGCAACAAATCTATAGCAAAAAAACCAAAACCCCACTCCTATATTGTTCATTCCACATATATACTTCACTTTTATCTGTTTGAGATACTTTTATGCACTGACTGTCTGTCCCATACTCCAAAGCCACCATGTTTGGATCTATCACATAATTATATTGGGATTTTAAAGCTAGGAAAGAAAAATATTATTTTAGAAGCGGGAGGGGGTGGAATCACATAGTTCAGGTTATACAAAGATGTAAACATTCAATTAATCAGGCTTCAAATTGAAAATGACTTCTATAAAGAAAAGATGCTGACAGAGGCTGCATACATGCCATGCTACAATAGCCTCTCTTACCCCGCCCAAAAAACTCTGGAGACTATAGTTTGTTGAGGGTGCAGGGAATTGTAGTTCCATGAGGGTAAGCTACAGTTCCTTTTTTTTTATAGAAGAAGAGTTTGAAGTTGATATCCTGCCTTTCACTCCCCTTAAGGAGTCTCAAAGCAGCTAACATTCTCCTTTCCCTTCCTCCCCCACAACAAACACTCTGTGAGGTGAGTGAGGCTGAGAGACTTCAGAGAAGTGTGACTAGCCCAGGGTCACCCAGCAGCTGCATGTGGAGGAGCGGGGAAGTGAACCAGGTTCACCAGATTACAAGTCCACTGCTCTTAACCACTACACCACACTGGCTCCCGTAAACTACAGTTTCTAAGATTCTTTGGCAGAAGCCATGCAGTTCAAATGTATGGTGTGTATGCAAGCCAGAGTCACTGTAATCTCTAATGACCAGGATTCTAACCACACATTTAACTGAAAGGACCTTCAAAATATCTGCACTTAAAAGGGTGTGAAGGCTTAAAAGGTTTAGCTATAAATAAGCAAAAAAGAAAAGGCCTTTTATTTGGTTAGTGTTCTCAGCTAGCCTCTTTTTTTCAAACAGAACCTGAAGGGGCTGAGTTTCCTTTTGTTCCTCTTTGCCATTCAGGAATTGTAGTCCAGGGGTCAGCAACCTTTTTCAGCCATGGGCTGGTCCACCGTCCCTCAGACCCAGGGCCAGATTTAGATGAAGAGAAGCCCTAGGCTACTCCACTTGTGAGACCCCTCCCCATCCCCCACCCTCATAACTAGAAGAAAATGGAAGAGTGTTATAAACGAAATTGAGTGAAGCCAAGGATGATGACGGGTATTTAAAAGTCTGCAATTCACAAATTCTCCTCTATTATTATTGTTAAATACTGTGGTGATTTTTAAAAATGCATAAAATTAATACTAAAAAACTTTTGCAATAACTGAACTTTGTAAACCTTTGCAGGCCTGGGCAGGGATTGATCTGATCCTCACCTGAATCTCATAGCTGTCCTGATGAGTGCTTTGGTCTGCCCACCAGATACCAGGCACTCTAGTATTCAAATTAGACCCCAGTGTTTTTGTTACAATCCCCTTCTCAATTAAGTAATCAATTTTAATCTAGAATTTAAATTCTCAAAACTTTCTTATTTGTTAATTTGAGCAAGTAAACTATTGCTCTCACTTCATTACAAACAGTATTTCTACCTGCAAAACACTTGAGCAAACGTGCTCCTCTTCCTTTCACAGATATTTTGTTGGCATTTGTAACTGTAGCTGCGTCTGATTAGTTATCATTTAACTCTTGGGGGGAATACTGTAATTAGCATCACATGTCATGTGCATGGAAGTTGCCAAACCAATTAACCAACTAGAAGGATTGCTGTTAATAGCACCAGTTCTACTATAACTTGATATTGCTGGATAGTTCTGATGAACTGCAAAAGCATTTTTAGTTTGCTTTCTGTTGCCACCCTGGAACTTTTCTTTATTAGTGCCACTTTGTTTTGTACGATTCCTTGCAAATGAAGGAAAACAACTTTTCTGCTTGTATATGTTGATAATATAATTTTGGTTACTGAGGACAAACAAGATTGTACAAAAACAAGATTGGGTGCAGGCCTGGCCAGGACATAGGCATCCTGACTGTGACAAAGGTGACCTATGTGCTTGTTTGCTTGATTAACAGCTGTTGGGAACTTCAAGGTCCCTGTTCTCCCTTCTTATGGTCTTTGTACTGGACCTGGAGACTCCAATAGAGAGCATTCCATGTCAAAAAGGAGGGCAAGTGGGCACCCTATCAAATGACAGGGCAGGAGCTACAAGGAGCAAGGCCTTTTCACTGGTGGTGCCCATTGTATGCCTCACTCTTCCCAGACCTGCTCTCTTTTGGCCTGTATTTTGGAGCTTTATAATTTAGGAAGACTTTGGAAGAACTGGTTGACAAGTCTTATCAGTCGCTGACGTATGAGCAGATTTTATTTGCTGCTGTTCTGGGCTTCTGGTGCACCAGGTTTACACCAGTGTAATAGTGTTGACCAGGATGCCAGAAGGACACAATTTATGAGCTTTCTCCATTATCTGCACAGCAGGGGGTGTTAAGTTAACAGTGCAAAGGCTGAGCTGAAGCATTCCCTGCTGGTTACCTGCTTTCAGCAATAGGGGTTGCTGTTTGGTAGTACCCAATTGGTTAGCTGTCAGATTCTAGAGCTCCCTATTGGTGGCTCTTAGGTAATTCACAAAACACAGAGTCCATTCATAAAACACAGTGTTCATTCATAAAGCAGTAGCATAAATCTCCATTGCTACATATTGGGTGTATATTTCAGCGGTTGAACGTACAGGTTTATGGCCATGCTGTAGTGTAGTGCTTATGCGACTGTGAATAAAAGGTGGCTGGACTCATTGTTTCGGGGTTTGTGGGGGGGAGAGGTGCCAAAACTGATTTCCAATAAGTGCCCCCCCCCTTTATTTCCATAACAACTCTTTGAGTCTGTACTCTGAATGGTGACACCAGGGACCTAGAAGGTGCAGGGCTTGTCAGTCCAACCCCTGCAGTCTCATCAGGGCTGACCTTAAGGCATTTGGAGCAATTGGGCCAAATTGGGTCTCGCGGGCTGCTCCTAAGGGTCCCCCTGCACAAGGGCAATCTAGATGGATTTTATTTGTATCTATAAGATTTTGCAGACATTGGCTGTGAACTGGAGCCTTAAAAAAAAAATCCAAGTTGCGCCCCACTGCTTCAAATTGGGCCCCACTGGCTAGCCCTGAGTCTCATAGTTGCTGAGCCTGAGAAGCCCTGCACTTGCATGAAGTCTTGGGTTTACAATTTTTGGGAGAGGGGAGACTGCAGCACTGGGGAGCGGGCAGGATGGTGAGGCCCCCTAGATTTAGAGACTCTTGGCTTCAGCCTACTTAGCCTATATTTAAATCCAGCACTGCTCAGACCATGTGGTGGGCTGGACGATATTTTTTTTGAGGGGGCAATGAACAAATTCCTATGTCCCACAAATAACCCAGAGATGCATTTTAAATAAAAGCACACATTCTACTCGTGTAAAAATGTGCAGATTCCCGGACCGTCCACAAGCCAGATCGAGAAGGCGATTGGACCGCATCCAGCCCCCAGGCCTTAGGTTGCCTGCTGTAGTCTGTCTTTAGCATTACAGACAGATTTACTACCATCAAAGGAGACATAAGGGTATATGGGGCACAAGAGTTCTCAGGCTCCAGGAGCCCCACCAAACCCATCAATCTTTTTTCAATTATCACATGCAATAATCTTGTCGTGCACAACAGTTATACAGTAATTTCAGTTTGTTTTCATTCATTTTTCTCTGGCAGAAACATGCCTAGTTTGAGGGTTAATGCACCCTTCTATCTAATAGGATTATTTGATAACCATTCCAATAGACCGTGTGTGTGTGTGTGTGTGTGTGTGTGTGTGTGTGTGTAAGGGCAAAGGAAAAAGGGGGGGGATACAAGAGGTGTTCTCAAATGAAATGCTTCACAAATATATTAGTATACCTGAGACCTATAAACACCTCCAGAGATCCCTTAGCACTACAGTACAGGTTATCTTCCACTAGAAAGGCTTAATAGCAAGTTCACTGTCAATATTTACTTACTATTGTTCCCCAAAAAGATTGTTCCCCTAGGAGTATTTGCAAGTGTGCATTCAACAGAAGTGCCTAGTGGTTTATTTCACCAGGGGATTGTTTCTGCAAATAAATATTTGCTTAGTTTAGGCAGACACCCCAAATATAAGCAGCCATGCAAAAAGGTGTTATTTTCTTGGTGTAACTACCACTTAAAGATAAAATGCCTCTGGAGAGGCCTCAATTATGTTTTCTCCTTGTAAAGGTAACCTTCTAATTAACTAGATGTCCTATAAAGGATGGTGCAGGGTGCTATCAGGCTGTGTTGCGCATCAATAACATGCCCATTTCAATTGAAAACATCTGTTATTCTAAAAAAGCAAAGGGGGGGGGGGACACCACTACTATGGTTGCCGGAATGATAAGTGCTTGCCTTTAGCCAATATCCCTAAAAATAACAAAAGTGTAACAATCACATAGCGGTGGAAACAAAAAGAAACAAAGCAACAGGGGCTGCCTTACTTCATTTCCTTTCCAGATGCCCAGTGAATAAAGCTATACAAAAAGACTTCCTATGTGTGATGTTCTAATCTAACAATGGCAGATACCGGTGAGAAAATGTTAAGCCATTCTATGAAAGGTTGGAATATATATTCAGCTGTAAACAACTGTTCCATTTGTAGCTCGATGTGCTTGGCATAACAGCCTAAGCAAAACTCCACGAAAGCCTGTTATGAATCGTCCTTCAGACTCGGGAGAAGAATTGTGTTGTTACCACTGAGAAAAGAATGAAAATCAAACCACGATCAGCAAATTTCACCATTTTACGTTTCTTCTCAAAGGCCCTATAAATGTTACCTTAGTCATGTGTGAGCTGCTTTTCTATGAGTGTTTCCTAGATGGCTGGGATAGTGTTTAAAAAAAACTATTGGATTGGGCTGATCAGTTAGATCCAGATCATGAACTGAGGCCTCCACCAAAGGGGTTTCCAACTCCATGGGAGCAGCCAAAATGAAGTAGTTCAATCATGGCTGGATACTCTCAGTGTCAGGGTAATGGAAAGCAGATGAATTATCCAACGGAACAAGTTGGAAGGAAGCTGACGTTATTAGAGGGCCATTAGAAAAAGCAGATGCATTCTAACAATGACAAATCTGCACAATGCAGCACATTTGACAATTTTAGGATCTTTGGAGCTTACACAGTAGCTTTCTGGTTTCACAAGGGAATCATACAATTGCAACCATTCTGATACCATCACAGGATGACAGGCGTGTTACACACTCTTCATAATATTGTTAACCTGCTGCATTTCCCAGTGCTTTTGAGCAGGGAACATTTTAAGATACATTTAAACCACATCAAAACCTACGGCGGTATCTCAACAGAAGACAAATCTGTTGGCTACTCTAGGTTTTGCTCTTCATTAGGATGTTTCTTCTCATTATGTGATGTCAAAACTATCTAGGGCTTTAGGCAGGTGCTTGTTAGAATGAGCCAAAATAAAACTGGCATCCATGACAGCACAACCCACCAGGAAATTCTCTTGTTCAGCCCCCTCTGAGGGGAGCAGTTGCTCTACAGTAGGATCATAGTTTCTGTCTGTGAGTCAGCAAAGAGGTTTTATTAGTCCATGGCATACAAGGAAAATAGTTTTTTAAACTGTGGCAATAACTGTAGCACTCTTGGTAAGATTTTTTTTTAAGTGGAGAGGAATTATATGGATGTGTGAAGAAATTATGTACCAATTACATTGTGATGTGCAATTACATTTGACAAAGCAGCACCCATTTCAGGACACAGCCATCTTACTATATCAAAGTTGGTTTGTCATGTGGCCTAGAACAGCCTTTGCCAACCTGGTGCCTTCCAGATGTTACGGAGCACAACTCCCATCAGTCTCAGCCAGCACAATTGCAGCTGCCTCCATGTCACCACTACAGTGCTGTTTTTAAGTGAACTTTCAACATGGTGGTACAATTCTACACTGGGTTAACTAGGACAGCAAAAAGGTGACTGTAGGAAGATCAAATCCTGTGAATCTTTGCTTGTGGACATTTTTTAATGAAGACTGGCTTTGGTATAAGTAAGACATAGAAGAATGTAGAATTTTACTAACATGTTTTTGCAGTGTTTTTGTCCCATGGTAAACAATATGTTGTGCTGGTGGACATAAAACTGAAACTATTAAATCGCTATCAGAATAAAATCAGGATTAAACATTGATGCCAAGTATTTCTTTGGGTTTATGAGATTAGATTTAGGCATCAATTCACCTGCCTAAGAACTTCTCAGGTAATGAAAGTCACCAGAATTTTATGTTCATAATTTCTTCCTGATTGTGCTGCTATATTAGATGACAGTGATGAGCCTTCTGGTGCCTTTTCCACTGTCTTCTTTGAAGGGGATTTCTCTAGGACAACTTAATGCCATAGGAGTATTTCATTTGTACCTCTCTCCCAGTGTCTGTGGGAGAAATTCAGTGTAGCTCTGTGGTAATTGTTCCACCTGTACAATCATACCTTGGTGGACGGATGCCTTGGCAATAAAACATTTTGGCTCCCAAACACCACAAACCCGAAAGTGAGTGTTCCAGTTTTGTGAACGTTCTTTTGGAAGCCAAACAGTCTGCGGGACTTCTGCAGCTTCCAGTTGGCTGCAGGAAGTTCCTGCACCTTGGAAGTCGAACGTTTTGAAGTCGAACAGACTTCCAGAATGGATTCTTTTTGGCTTCCAAGGTACGACTGTACAAGTATCTCAGCTTGCCAAGCAGAGCAACTCCCTTTCTCCTCTCTGGGGGAAGAAGGGGGAAAGCCTCATTGCAGTAGTAGAAGTCCATTTAAGGGCTTCTGCTAGTGGGACATGGTAGTTGAACCCAGACCTACAGTACGACCAGATAATTTAAAAGTGCAGCTTTAGAAAAGGACCAAGGCCCAGTGATGGACCACATCCTTTGTGGGCAGAAGGCCGTAGGTACAATACCTAGCATCTCCAGATAGAGCTAGGAAAACAGTCTTGTCTGAAAACACCAGTAAAAGTTCCTGCCAGTTACTGTAGTAAAATCTGAGCTTGATGTACCAATGGTCTGACTCCGTATAAAATAGTCTTCTATTTTCTTAGAATAATAAATATAGCTTTTTGCACTCCCAGTGCAGCACTAAAATGCACAGCTGAGAATGTTTTTTATCAGTGTGGGAAGCAAGTCATGCACACTGGAGAGCCAACATTGATCTCTCCCACTGATGTGGACTGGTTAGAGACTAGCACAGGCAGTAGAATTTCCTGCTGTATTCTGTGGGTGTTTTAATCACTAAATAATTGCATGCAAATATCCAAATAAGAGCCATCAGGACATTGCTGGAGGACTCCTGTCATCGAAATGCTTATCCGATACCCCAATCAACTAAATTCAAGTAGCCTCAGAGGAATCCAACCGCATGAAGATGATAGCAATCTCACTTATACAACCTCCAATTATGATTTTCTATATTTCATCAGACTGGATATATGGGGCCACTCAACCTGTTGAAATCTATTTTATTATCTTTTCCCAGATGATACTTCTAACCATTTTTCAAGGCATTCATGCATTTTCAGAATAAAACATTTTAGTTCTGAAAAAACAATTATAATAAGGCTCTTTAGAGGGTCCAGCTTCCGGGTTAGCGCCATCGCCGAATGGCGGACTCCCTCCGAGCTCCGGAGGGAGTCTGCTCGGCAGGGGCTGGGTCCTACCGCGCCGGCGACGCGGGGACCCTTAAAAACCACGGGCACGGAGTCCGTGGACATGGGTGACTCGGCTTGCACCATTAGCGCCCTCCCGACTCGTGAAGGAGCCTTTTAAAGGCTTCGGATCGGGTGCCGGGGGTGGCGTGGTGCTTTGAGTCCACTGCTTTCCCTGCCGAGCGCAGCCGCATGCCATTCGACGGAGAGCGCTGACTTCTTCTATTGAAAATTTGGACTTTTAACAACAACCCGTGAGTAATTGGGAAATCGGGTTCAAAATTTTGGATTTGGCACGAGCGGGGGTGATTTAAAAAGGAAGTCAATCCCCCCCCCTATTGTAAGCATTCCAAAACAAGGACTGGGTAACCAAGGTCCAAAGGGAAGTATGTCTCTGATAAAAATCATTAATTTCACGATGGGAAATTATAAGAAATGTGCTGGAGGAGAAGAGTGGAGGGTGAGAAGAAAATGCAACCCCCCCCCTGGGAACCGGGGCGATTCGTGGAGCCTGGTGAAGAGAGACGGAGACTTTGACAGCTGTCAAAGTGGCTGTCAAAGCTGGAGAATATAAAGAGGACTTTATGAGGACCTTGCTGGTAAATTTTGCTACAATTTGCTATAATATGGATATAAACTGTTGGAAAATAAGTAACAATTTGACTTTTGGATTAGAGGATACAAAGTTATTACAATCCCCCCTAGAGGGGTTTCAGGATACTACAAGAACGGTCGTAAGTGGAAAAATACCCTGGGATTCGCACAGGATTTGTTATCTTCTGGGAAAGCTGCAAAACTGAAAGAGTATTTTGTCTACAGAGGAAGACAATGGAATTTTTTATTGAAGAAAGAAAGGGACTGGACGTAAGTTTTGTTCCTGAATAACAAACCTCTGCAGAGACACTAGATTTCTGAATCAGAAAGTTTTAGCAGCTGAACAGGACAAGAAACCTGAGAAAGTGAGGAATAAGAAGAATAAAGGACTGATTACGACACGGAAAGAACAACGGGAGGAGTGGTAAAGATCAAGGAAATTAAAGGCCTTTGTTAGATTGGACATTTGAAGTCAAATATTATTTAAATTAATAAACTAAAAGAAAACCGGCAAGATGGAATCGGGAGAAATCTGGTCATGAAATGAGACTTCCAAGCTGATAATGTATAGACTGATGGACATGGGGAATTCAAACCGGGAAGGGGGGAGATTTGAAATCCAAAGGCTGTGTAACCATTTTTTGAACTTTTCTATATCTTTTATTTTCTATTTCTTTACATAACTTACGCATGTTATTTTACTTTGATCGGACGTGTTTAAAAAAAAGGGAATTTGTGGAAGGAACTGGGGTGGATCTTGGGGAAAATCTTTTTCTTTTTCTGTTAATGATGTGGGACGGTGGTAAGATTTGTACAATTCAAATTGGATAGTGGGTTAAACAAATTAAGCTTTAAATTTGGGAGTGAGAGCTTGTAGAACCAAATTAAGGAAAGGGGAATACAACCGGGGGAGGGGGAGTTCCAGAAAGTAGGGAATGAAAGTAAGGTTTTTAAATATCTTCTTTCTTTTATCTTTTTTCTTTGTACTTTTATATTTTTGGAAACTTCAATAAATATGATTTAAAAAAAAATAAAAAAAATAAAAAAAAATAAAATAAGGCTCTTTAGAGGTACTCCTCATTCAGCTAACGCTAGACAATATATTCAAGACCATTCTCTTTTACAGAGTGAGAAAAGGCTGTTAACGGTGTACTCAGTTTTGTGTCCGTATACAACTTTGGTGTCTTGTTCTTGTTCAGATATGATGTTTTTTTTCCTGATCCTCTTAAAGATGTGTACAGCAAAGGTGAAACTTTCCCCATTCAATATCTGACCTCAAGGCTTTTCCCACTATGAGAGCAACAAACCTCTGAGACTTTGATGATCCAACTAGCAGGTTTTAATCCGTGTTCAACTTGTAAAAAGAGATCTTCCAAATCCTGGCAGCTGTGGTTATGGAAGCATTCTGAACTTGGTCATTATCCTTTTCAGTTTCAGAGAAAAATAGTTCCAATTGCTACAGCTATGGGGCACCATATTTCAATGAGTTGGATAAAACATGGTTAGCCTTTTCCTTCAGAAACCTGGGTTTGGATAAATAGTGAGTTGGGGTAGGGGGTAGTTGGGAATCTGGAAACATAAAACTGTAAAGCAAAACCATAGCCAGTTGTCCTTACTGTGTGGGGTGACCATATTTCCAGGCGTGGCTTCAAACAAATGAATGGATTTGTTCAAAACCAATATACATTTCTATACTCTCTCTGACCAAGCTCAAAACGACTATGTGTATGTCATTGTCTGCTAGTTGTTATAGATAGATAACTAGAATAAGAATTGCTTTGCCCTGAAGTGTTCACAGTCGTGGGAACTAAAGGGTTATTTCGCTTTATTTTTCAGCCATATCACTCAGTCATAAAGCTGAAAGCAACCTTGAAAAATCCACCTGAGTGAATCTTGTGTAGGCTGAGAACAGGGTGAGTCAGATGGGTCGAGCCCTACTACTTTGGGGAAAAACAGCTGCCATTGAACAGGAATTGCCTTATTCTAAAAAGCAGCTCATTAAAGAGAAATTTCCACATATTCAAAAGCCTGCTTCCTGAAAAACTATTAGGTGGGACAGAGCACTGGTTCTACATAGGGTGTTGCACCCACTGGCCTCACCTTGCCTACAGGTCTGCTATACCAAACAGGTTCATGGCATTACAATTTGTAACACAGCAACTAAGGCTGCCATCCTAACTCCTGGCCAGGATCAGGAAGGCTGTATGGATCAGTAGTACTGCTGCTGCCTCCAAAGCTCTGCCATCTGGGTCTTCCAGGACAGAAGGGGAGGACTAAAGCTATTGATTGAGCAGAGAGGCTCAAATATCACTCTTTGTTGGGAGCTTAGGTTCCAGTGGCCTGGGTCCACCCCAAAACACCTCCTTTCCGGGATGTTCTGCAGGCTACCGCCCATGCTTTTTGTGGAGACGCTTATGCAATGGCAGCTCCCAGTGGCACAGCCTAGCAGAGCTGAGTGGACTTAAACTTCTGCTGTATCCTACCTATCACCTGCATGGCAAATTGGGAATGAGGACCGCTCTGCTTCTTGTTCCACACTTACACAGCTTAAGACGTTCACATGAGCCCTAAAGACAACATCAACATGCACTTCATCACCCCTCATGTGTTGGGGACTGAACATCTGCAGCAGAGAGCCTCTTCAGCTTGGCTGGCTTCCCATTTCACAAGGGGATCCTAGACAAGCTGAACAAGCCACAGTCATCACCAGGGGCGAGGGAAAGAATGCCTGCACTTTGCCATTAATGCAATGTTTTGGTATTCTGCTGCATTTCCACAGGGCTGACCTCTGACACTGGAAACAGATCTTTGGCAAGTGCACTAATTCAGTATGTTGATCTGGTGGTCATACTTCTCCTCTTTGTGGTATAAGCTCTCACCTCTTCTGAAAATGTTTCAGGCAATTCCTCAAGAACATCCTGAGAGATGGGGGGGGGCACTTCTTTTAAAATACAGCATTGTCCTGGGTGGCAAGATTGCCAGGGCCACCAATTGTAGTCTGGGTAGAGGTATAAAAGAGCAATTTATTGTATCAAAATTATGCAGTTCCATTCCAGGAATTTCACTCCCCCTCCAACATTTGTCTGTGGTCCAAAAAACAAAACAAAAAACCACCAACCCCAAGACTGAAATGAACAAACCCCAGGACTGAAACAGTAACTTCAAGGCAGCTTTTTTTATTTTTCTTTCCCACCTTTCAACCAGCATTGCTGTCTGTGTCACCGTGATGCCTCCTGAGCCGCTCTTCCTCCCTTTGGCTCCAGCCGTTCTTTTGTCCACCATCTGAAAATGGCTCCCTTTAGTTTCCAGCTGTACTCATTCCGAATGCTTTTTGTAAAATGTACCAATCTGGCCTTTAGCCAGCGGGATAGCATTTACCTCTGTCCCTAACCTAAGCTAGGAAAGTTTTTAACAATGGGGAAAGAGCTGTTTCTTCTCAAGCAAGCCGACAGAACATCATCTTACAACATATTTTTATTATTTTTATTTTTAGAGAAAGGAAGTATTTTCTTTCAAGGCTACCTGTCCAATTACAAGACTCGCTGAAAACTGAACGAACTGGGAGAACAGGAAAGACATAAGGGTATCCTCAGCTTTTGTGGGGGGTGTTTTTGCAAAATGCACAATTCTTGAGTTTTCCAGCCTTTTATTACCTGCTTGATTTCCTTTCATTAAATATACATATAATCTGCTGAAAGATAAAAGGCAGCTTTATTTTGCATCTTCTGCAGCAGCCTCTTTCAGCCCTTTTATGTTTTGGTTTTGTTCTGGGAACAGAGCATAATGGCAGCTGCTCATACTTCAATAAAAGACACTCCATGCAGCACTCACTTGTAAACATGTTAGCGCTCCCTACGTGGGCATAAGGGGCTGTTCAGAGTTCTCACACACCTGCAGAAGGCTGCTGCATCCGACTACAAAGATCTGCAGGCCCAGAAGAGGACTGCCTCTTGCAAATGGCACAGATACAGTACTTGCTTCTGAACATCAAAAGCTCAAAGCCCCACTCAAACAAAACACTATGGACTGGGAAACTGTATTCCACTCGGGGGTGATCTACATCATAAAAATCAGATGAAAACAGGTGCGGCAGGGACTGGGAAATCAAAATATGTGTGGCTGTTTTATTTTATTTTATTTATTTATTTTATTGCCATATTTAAGCTCTACTCAATAACAATGGTCTCTGGGCAACTTACAGTATTAATAAAATGCTAAAAGTTTCACCCATTGCTAGTGCCACTGGGAACAGACCCACTGGATTAATGAATATGACTAACTTAGGTCCATTAATTTCTATATGTCTACTCTGAGTAGATGTCTGAGCAACCAACCAATAAAACAGGAGATTTAAACAGTAAATACCCAGCTAGATGGGCGGGGTATAAATAATAAATTGTTGTTGTTATAGATTAAAAGTTTTAAGGTGTTTTTAAAAGACGTAAGAAAATAAAAGCACCTTTCCCTGGCATCGAAAAAGACCACAATGTAGGCACCGGCAGCATTCCACAACCAGGGTGCCACCACTGAAAAGGCCCAGCCACCTGCCACACCTCATTTGATGGGGGGACCCAGCCTCAGAATTGTCCAAGTCTAAGTAGGCACATAGAGGAGAAGGCTATCTTTCAGGTACTATGTTCCTGGACTGTTAAAGGTTGAAACCAGCATTTTGAATTGGGCACAGAAATGGAGTGGAAGCTAGCACAGAGAATGAAGCAGTGGCATAATATTTTCAAATTCTTCAGTACTGGGACTCAGCTACTTAATTTAATTAATGACCACGTGTTGTGTTTTTAAAAAGTAAACGCCAATGGCAGCCTTTTTGCTAACGCTAATTACCCTGTAAGGCGGGTGGGGAGTTAGCACTGGAGATTGCAGCTGGGGAAAGAAGGTTTAAACCTACCCGCCCTGGGTACTGTCACACGCCAGGTATTTTATTTAAAAAACATACAATGTGGCTGCTAATCACCTGTAGTTAGCCTCCAGTGAACAATTTAACAACCCTTCCTGAATCAACAGACGTTTCCTGACCATTTTCAAAGGCAGTCCCATGCACAACGTATTATTCCCAGAGCATGGCTAGCTGCTGCCTGGGCGTCTCTGACCAGGTAGGGTTGCAATTGGTGTGTCAGACTAAGCTGATAAAAGGCACTCAAAGCCACAAAGGCCACCTGAGCTTCTGTTGCCTTCACAGGAAAATATCTATGCTTTTAAACGTATTGTGTAGATATATACAATAAACGTATTGTGTAGATTTATATTGCTAAACTTAAAAGTGGGAAACAAAGACAACCAGAAAAGCAACAGCAAATTTTCTCAGCTTCTCCTCCTTAAAATAATGTTTTCAACCCTAAACAATTTCCTTAGTGCCCACAAGTGTCTGTTTTACTTATCAGTTGTCCTGAATAATAATCTGAGCTTTGCTTGCATACTGCACTGGTCCATCAGAGACTGAAGTTAGTTTAAAAGAAACTTGAGAGCACTGGATAAGATCTGTTTCATCACAAGATCAGTGGTCCTTGAAAGGAGAAGGCTGTTTGCTGTTTCTTATGGGTGGCCTTCATAAAAACTCTTGGCACGTAGAAACCTAGCACATTGGGCTTTTCTCCCTGATGTGTCAATTTTCTGCATACAGGTGAAAGGGTTTTATTTGATGTTCAATTTATTCATAGTGAATCTCAGGCACAGTCTAGAAATTGAGACCTCTCCCTAGAGATGATCAAAGGGGTTTATTGCATTAAAGGATAAAATGCTATATCACTTGTCAGTACATTCTCATGATGTGCAACAGCTTTCAGCATAAGAAAGACTAAAGAACTTTGGCCTTGCTGTGACTTTAATAGGGGGAGTGGGGAAGGGATAGCTAGGCTTATGGAGTTGAGCTTGGAAAATGTTCACAGAAACTTCACGGAAGGAAGAGGAGGGTATGGCATAATTCAGCCCCAGGATAGCATTGTATAAGCAGCCAACCACATGACAGAAATCTGAGGAAAGATTGGGAAGGAAACGGAAATGCATCAACAAATTTCCCATCATGGTGAGAGAGGAGGGTGACAGAACTATCTCAGAACTTTGTTGGAAAGGTCTTGTAATGTCCCAGACAAGGCCTTATGCTTCTCCTTCTGGGAGAAAACAAGGAATTCCATTCATGCTCAGGGCATTTATATATTTTCACTGCCCATTGTGAAGTTTTAGGATAATTTAAAATTTAGCGTTCTAGGATCCTTTAAATTTCTTTCCAGTTCTAATGATAAATATCCAGTTGGGGACACTATTATGCCCTTACAGCAGCATAGCTATACATTTATATGTAGCAAGGGAGGGGGAGAGTAATGTGAACACAGCAATGTGATTTTCCTTCTCTATTCATTGTATTAGGCTGTCTCTTACTTTCTCATTTAAACAAACGAACAAACAAACAAAAAACTCAAACCATTTAGAACAACAAACGGCCACTTTCCAAACTGTATAGCAGGCACATTTTGAGAGTGTCCACATTGAAGGCATACCTGCCAAGAGAAGTATGGAGATCCTTTCCAGGGCTCAGCTAAACTGTATGCAGCTAAATGTTGAACAATATTTGCCTTTCTCATTGAGCTACGCGTGATTTATTTTAGCTGCACTGAGAAGAAAACAACAAAGCTGATAACGGGTCTGGAATTCGTTACATCAAAGAATAGCCTCAGAGAACTGGGTATGTGCAACATGATAGCAGATAGGGCAAATAATACAAGCATTCAAATATCTAAAAAGCTGAGATTTTACCAGAACTGCTGAGGGCTACTTCTCACATTACATATGGATGGTGTGGACATGCCTTCACAAGTTATTTCTGTGTTTACAATGTCCAGTAGGGATAGTTGATTAAGATTACTGTCTCCAGGGAGCAGCAGTAGGGAATAGTACTACTAAGGAGCCTGCCTTTCTTCAAACATGGCAGTTTAAGACACTGGGCTGTTTTGCTAGAGTGTTTTTGTGTCATCAGACACAATGTAGGAAACATCCCAGAGGCAACAGCAAAAAGTACAGTGCTCATACGGGAAACAAACAGATTTAAGATTCGTATTTTTAAAACTATTTTTAAGAATTATTTTGAGGCAACAATGCTAGTTGCCTAAAGAAGTTATAAATCTCCTTTATAGGAAGTTTTGCTGTTTTGTTTTTAGAAATCTGGAAAAAGACCTGAGAAGAATAATAGTTCACGTCTACAGAATCTTGTCTATGTGAGGAGATGGAATAGCTAATTTTTGTACTTGTCCGACTCTATGGGATGGCTCCAGTTCCATCTTTCTGTGAATGGAATCCAACAGGTGCCTCTCTGTAACGGGAGAGGAAGAGAGACCATTTTTGGCAAATCTTGCTTCTCTCTGCTGGCGGGGGGAATGCACTCCCTGAAATCTGCTCTAGAAAGGACTGGCGGAAATCCAGAACAGCATGTCCAATGCAGCAGAGGCCTATAGCAGGAAGTGAGGTTGACAACAACCCCCAGCTCTCCTTTTCCACTAGTAAATTCATCCTCTTGGCCAAAATCTCTTCAGTAAAGAGACGGCCACAATTATATTAAAATCCATGATTCTATTGTTCTTGAAGATAAAAAAACCAGAGATTTTCCCTTTTGTTATACTGTAGTTGGCCAAATAATATTTAATGTGAAGAATAAATGTTTTGAAGTACTCCTTTTTCAGGTGGGTTATGTCTGATAGTTGAAGTTATCTCTATAAAACTCAACCCTTCTCTTCCAGTTGTGAGCTGGATAAAACATTGAACTATAAGATGCACGAGAGGCAGGAAAATAAAAGCGTTGATGAGGAGGGAAATACAGTCAGAACACAATTATAGGAAAAGGAGGGAAAGGTGAAGAATAAGTGGCTGCTAAAGAAGGGGCAAAAGGAAAGCAAAAGCCCTTAGGGCAACTAGAAATCCAATTATGTAGAAGTAGAAAGCGGAGAGGTATATTTCTCAGGCAATAGCTTGGTTCTGTAGCCTTGTGTATGGCCTTACAGTGACCTAGTTGTAATTATAGGTCTCCTTAGGGAGATAAATTGCTGTTTGATCATCAGACACTTGTGCTAGCATGAGTGCCATTCACATGAGGGGAGTTTGCACTGGTGCAGCATTACAAAGACAGGGAGGATTGAAAGCATAATAAGCAAAGGGTCGAGCATAGGATAGACAATACGTAAGTAATAACAGCAGATTATGTGCATTGCAGTGCAAATTCTTTCTGCCTAAAACAAGCAAAACACACATGGGAGAGATATGAAATGCTGCCTGTGGACAAGTACAAGAAAAAGCAAAGAGGTTTATTATTATTATTTTTTTTAATGATCTTTTACAACCAATCCCGGTTGTAAAACCAGGAGCTGCAGCTGACATGAGGTCGACCTACCTGGAAGGAAAGCTCAGTGTTAGAGCATCTGCTTTGCATGCAAATGGTCCCAGGTTCAATCCTGAAGCCTCCAGGAAGAGCTGTGAAATGCAGCAGTGTAGACAACATTTAGCTAGATGGACCAATGGTCTGACTCAGTAGAGTAGCTTCCGTATATTGTGACACCAGCCACGTTGACCAGCTTTGCTTATTTTGGTTGCTGGCTTGCACTGAAGCTAGAAAAGCAAATAAGGTTTCTCAGCTGGCATAGTGCCCATAAAAGTTTTTCCCCATCTGATAACATTGTGATATTAGGTGATTGGTAGGTGGGAGGTCTCACCCATCTACCATGGTTTAAAGACCCAAATAATCAAGACTGACGTCACTTGAGAGGTGACCACTGTTATGTATTGAAGTTCTCACCCTGGCCACCAGGAGTATCGTGTAGATAGTTTTCACTCAGGTCCACATCAGTTATTTTAGGCGGGAAACCCTGGGTTGTTGTTGCTGCAATGTTGACAGCCGGCTGCCTATAAAAGCAGGCCGGCTGAGGTGTTTGCTGTTCAGTTCTGTTCCAGCTTACAAATAAAGAGCTGCTTTGGAGAAATTGCTGTGTCATCTGCTATGTCTACCCACTATTCAACACTGGCGACGAGGATGGGATCAATGGACATCAGAGCACAGCCAGACGCAGCCACCCTCTGAGATGAGCTGAATCACGGAGCTGAAACACTGAGCGAAATCACGGAGTAGAACCAATGCAGAGCTGACTGTTCTGGCTAGAGCACAGTGTTTCATCCATCGCCTCCACATCCGCATCGGAACCATGGCTTCACTCGTGCCTCTACCGCCGTTTGCCCCAGCCTCTGAATCATGGGACTCCTACCGCGCTCAGTTTGACTGCTACCTCCAAGCAAATGAGCTGACAAGAGGGTCTGAAGAGCAGAAGCGGGGCCTCCCCTCAGCCTTTGTGGCCCCGATGTTCGGACGGCCCAAGCATTGGTTGCACCTCTAGCAGTCCAGGCAGAGCCGTGGGACACAATTCAAGAGAAGCTCCGCAACTACTACGCGCAAAAGCCGTCCAAGATTGCTGCCCACCATGCGTTCTACCACCGGAACCAGGCAGAGGGGGAGTCAAACAACAACTACACCACCGCCCTCCGACAGGCTGCAATGCACTGCGAGTTCCGAGACTTAGATGATGCCCTGATGGATCAAATCGTCTGCGGGGTCCAGGACATCCGTCTGCAACGGCATCTCCTCGCCAAGCCAGACCTCACGCTGCAGAAAGCCATTGAGGAGGCCGCGGCCTCAGAAGCTGTTGAACTCTCCGCCCAGGAAACCCACAAGGCCAGTAGACCGTATTTAAAGGACTATGTTGTTGGACATGTAACACCATTGGTCTAATGGAATTATGTGAAATGTAACCGATATGATTTGTGCCTAATTGAACCATTACGTGTAGTGTTGTATATAAGGAAACCATTACTATTGTAACGAACGCCTTATCTCGGTGGGGAGGGGTGTTATGTATTGAAGTTCTCACCCTGGCCACCAGGAGTATCGTGTAGATAGTTTTCACTCAGGTCCACGTCAGTTATTTTAGGCGGGAAACCCTGGGTTGTTGTTGCTACAATGTTGACAGCCGGATGCCTATAAAAGCAGGCCGGCTGAGCTGTTTGCTGTTCAGTTCTGTTCCAGCTTACAAATAAAGAGTTGCTTTGGAGAAATCGCTGTGTCGTCTGTTATGTCTACCCACTATTCAACAACCACCATCTCCAATAACTTGCACTAAAAAGGTAAATCAGAAACTATTTTAAATAAAGGTTTATATAATTATATAATATGCCTATTTAAAATAATTGTTTCTCACTACTCTTACTTGCTGCCCACAGTCTCTTACTAAGGGGACCAGTCAGGTCCCACCTGCTTGATTTCAGCCATGCTGAAACTAGTTTTGATATACATGCTAGCAATAGTAATGGCTGAGTCACTCAGGATTTATCAGTCTCAGACAAATCATATCGCCTTACTTTAATACTTGGTTTAAAAAGACAGCAGCCAAAAGACTTTGCGCACCTAGATTTTCCAGAAGCTTTAGGCAAATCTACACATAAATGGATTACTATGTAACCACCTTTAAAAATATGAATCAAGTAATAAAATAAAATAGGCTTCTGCTGTTATGGCAATTGAATGTTGCTTGGACCTAAGACTGCTAAGGAAATTCTCAAAGAAAGAAATATCAGAAGTTTTTGGGGGGGTCAGTACTTTTTTACAATGTATTCTTAGCTATTGTTTCTTCACATATTGCTCATGAGCCGGTCCAGAAACATTACGGAAAAGATTACGTTTTGTTTCGCCCATGTAATGTTATTTTTTCTTCTCTTTTGTTTTGCTACAAGGGATTTCCGTACACACATAAGAAAAGAAGGTCAGTTTCTTGATACTATGAGTAAAGTATTAATCATAATTAATCATTAGTCATAAATGCATTAGTCATAATAACCATAACCTATCAAAACAAAATGTAAAAAGGAAAGTCAAAATAGTATTAAAAGTATGACTAAGATAATATACATTTAAATTATGGATTGCATCCAGCATCAGTTTGCACCTATTGAATTTATTGGACATGTCTTCCAGGAAGATCAAGTATTTTTAAAAGACTGGAATAAATTATTAATTTACTTAAAAGACCACTGTAAACAGTTAAAATAATTGGCAGGGGTGTTATGACACTTGTAATGTGGGATTAAGTATGGTAACTATAGATATTTAAGAGATGGATAAAGGAAAAAGATGCATAAAATGTTATCTTGAATATGGAAACCATGGAGGGAGGGAAGAAGGTCCGAAGGTTCAATAGAACCTTTTATTTTAATGTTTGAAATGGTTAAAGTTAAAATGTATAAAATCTTGTAAAACCAATAAAATAATAATAATAATAATAACAATAATAACAACAACAATAAAGAATTTATTGGACATGTCAGGCCCATTGATTTTAATGGGACTACTTTGAGTAGAACTTAGTTGGCTCACTATAACCCTATCCTTTTAACTCTCCAAGGTAAATAGAATGACAGAGAAACTGAGTCGTCAAGCGAAGAGAATTGAAGTGACCACTGATCAAATTGTTCCTAGAAAAACATATGGCCAAGCTGCATCCTGTGCCTTATCAGTTCAGTAATGAACGAACAAGCCCCATTTCTCTTGCCCTCATAACGTTGTTGTGTTTGACCATGTAGATAATGGGTGACTCAATATGACAAAGGACTCTTTCATCATCCCTGACCATTGGCCATGCTGGCTGGGGCTGATGGGAGTTGGAGAACACCAGGAGTGCCACGGATCCCCATCCCTGATACAAATTATATGCCAAATCTTCAAAGACCACACCTCGATGGAGAGAGGTTTAATCTATTCATACTTTATGGTTAACTGTGTTTAACCATGTAATATGATTCTTAACTGACACATACAAAATAGATGGATACTTTTTTTTTAAGCAAATAGATGGCACCTAAAAAATTGAACATATTAAAATAAAACCAAGTTGTTGTTGTTTTTTATAATCGGTCCCTGACTCCGTTTTCCCTGTATATTAAAATATATTGTAACTAGGGTTGGAGGAGAAATTCAATTCAGTTCTCATTGAAAGGCAAACCCAACTAATTCACACTTTTCAAAACAACACGTGAACTGGAACATGAAATGTGAACAACTGAAGGCTGGAATAATGAGCAACAGAGAGAAACAAAAGCTGACGGATTTGTCCATCCCTATCCATGGTGTTTTGAAAGCTGTGAAGATGATTCATATGCAGAAGCCAGTTCAGCACATGGACCATCTTTCGTATATCAAAGTGAAAATGTAAATGCGATGACTGATCCACAAAAGGAGACAGGAAGCCTGCATACCCTTCTGGAAAAGCTGGCCTCACTAAAATCAGTAACACTTGTTAGTCAGTGTGTTCAGGGCTTACACACAGGTCATGATGAACGGGTATGAAGTAGGAGATGTTTTAAAGTGAAGATGTTGCAGGTAAGAAGAAGGTTCCATTCTGTATTCTTTACTTGCCTTAATGTCTGTCTGTCTGTCTGTCCATGTCTCTGTCTCTGTCTGTCTGTCTGTCTCTCTCTCTCTCTCTCTCTCTCTCTCTCTCACACACACACACACACACACACACACACAAACACACACACAAAGAGTTGTTTTTCTCCTGACACATTCTAAAAGTTCTGAAAATTTGCTAGGGGGAGAAAAGTGGAAACTGCGAGTTCAGAGCTAATTTCCAACCTACTGCTCCAAACCATCCTCATCCCCTACATTCTAACTCACAGGTCTGCTGCAGTCATATCAAGTCAGACCTTAGGCCCTGTGGCTTGGGGTACAAGTCTATGCACACTGATACTTGGGCATAAGTCACACTAAACTCAAGTGAGACTTATGGAGCAATCCTAAAAAGGGTTCAGGAGGTTAAGAGCAGTGGATCCTCTGCCACATCCAAAACCATGTCTATTTGTGCCAGTTGGGGTACAAGGTAAGGGAAAGGTGCTCTGATTTTGCCATGCCAGCTCTAAGATCACTTGGCTGAGGAGCCTCTTTGGGGGAATCTTTGGGATTTAATGTTACTGAAATTCCATTTCAGGGCTTGCTGCAGCCCGTTCCCTCAAACAGTTCTTCTTTCCATTGACAGAGACCCACAGAGAAAACATTGTGTGCTATCCTACACCCAACCTGTCAGGGAACTGACATCGGAGCCAGAGGCGGAGGCAAGGCTCCCAAGCGATGCTGGAGATGGGCCCAGCAGGGAGAGAGGCAGCTCATCAGCTGGGGAAGCAAATCAGCGCAACACCAGGGAGATGGGGGAATCGGCGAGGGGGCTCCAAGACTCCTCGCCGGAGACCAGCGGGGAGAGCACGGGCCCTCCGCTACCCACACCCTCCCTGCGCAGAAGACTTCCGCGCAGGGAGAGTAGGAGGAGACTTGGCGTCAAACAGCATTTACGCTGGAAAAGGTTTAAGAAACGCCCACTGACGGATTCTGCTAGCGACTGAAACAGCCACGAAGTGAAGGGCTGTCCAGACAGAAAAGGTTTAACAAGGCAACCTAGCCAGGAGTGGCGGCAACTTACGCACGAGCAACCCCTATATTTATTACACAACCCTTGTCTTGATAGCCCAAACCATTGGGGACAGAGTGTGGCGTTCGTACAGAGCCCCCAGTCGTTTCACGGACTATTGACCTGTACACCACTACTTTATTCTTCTGCTGCCACCAATTTTGGGGGGGGGAACCCAGGGTTCCCCAGTGAAGTATTGAGTCTCAGTCAGGTAGAATTAACAATGAAGATTAAAGTTTATTTCAAACACAAACAAGTTTTAAAATATATTCGAAACACTGTCAGTCTATTCCCTCTCAGTCTTGTCCCTGTCTCTAACTCACTCTGACTCCTCTATCTTCTCCGCCTCCCCCCAAAAAGAACCAACCGAACTAACTGTCAAAACCTCTGGGCTGAGCCTCAAAATCAGGTAGGCTCTGCCTCCGGGCTTTCTTATTGGTCAACCTATTAACCCTTTCTCTCCCCCAATACAAACGTAGCCCCAAAGAATGGGCAAATGCCACACAGAGGTTTAGGACTGCACTCTTATTTCATTCATATATGTATATGTATGTGTCAGGGAACTGACATCGGAGCTAGAGGCGGAGGGAAGGCTCTCAAATGATGCTGGAGAAGGGCCCAGCAGGGAGAGAGGCAGCTCATCAGCTGGGGAAGCAAATCAGCGCAACACCAGGGATAAAGGGGGGCAGATGGGGGGAATCGGCGAGAGGGCTCCAGGACTCTTCACCGGACACCAGCGGGGAGAGCACGGGTCCTCCGCTACCCACGCCCTCCCTGCGCAGAAGGCTTCCACGCAGGGAGAGTAGGAGGAGACTTGGCGTCAAACAACTTTTATGTTGGAAAAGGTTTAAGAAACGCCCACTGACGGATTCTGCTAGCGACTGAGGCAGCCACGAAGTGAAGGGCTGTCCAGACAGAAAGGTTTAACAAGGCAACATAGCCAGGAGAGGCGGCAACTTACGCACGAGCAACCCATACTCATTACAGTATGTGTATACAAATATATATGATTTCAATAGACAATTAAGAAATGCACCCCATGGATGTTGGGTCCTTTGTTTTCAGCTGTCAAATTACCACTTCCAATGGCAATGTAACTCTTAGTTCCATGAAGAGAAATCAAACAACCAAAACTCTAAAGCAGTCACATGAAAATATAATCAGCGTACTAACTACTGATCCTAGCAAACATCCACCCAAAGGTTAGCAGGCACAACCACCTTATAAGCACTTCATTAAATTATGACAAAAAATCATAAAGCTTAAAAATAAATGCCTG